CTAGAGAACCTTCTGATGGAGAAACTCTTACCTGCGATACTTGGAACTTCGTCGATTTCATCACTGGAGAGACGTCTCTTTTGTTTGCCAGCAAGAAAAGGTGGTCTTGGAGTGTCTAACCCAACCAGTTTCGCTGATGAGTCTTACAACACGTAACGTGAAGCAGTTACGGTTCTTTATGATGCTATTGTTGATCAGCACGGTTTTTCCCATGAAGACCACAGAAAGCAAATGCCTCGATCGCGGAAAAAACATCATCGATTAATGGAAGAAAAACATGAAGAGTTGTTGGGGGAGTTATTGAATGAGCTACCAGCAGACCAAGTTCGCGCAGTAAAAAGAATCAATGAAGAAAGCTTGTCTGCCCGGCTGACAGCTTTACCGATTGCTGCAGAAAACTTTGATCTTTCGGAAGTGGAGTTTCGGGATGCTTTGAGTGTCCGGTATAACAAAAACTTCAACGCTGCGCCAGCTTTTTGTGATGGTTGCAAGTCACCATTCACCCTACGGCATGCGTTAGCGTGCAAAAAAGGTGGTCTCTTAACTTGAGATGTGGGTCCACAATGAGATTAGGGACGCTGTAGGCGACTTAGCTTCTTTAGTTAGGAAGGATGTACTGAGAAAGCCTGTTATTAGAGAATACAACCCCGCAATGATTGCAGAAGGAGACACCCGCAATAATTGCCGATTTTTTTGTCGTGGAGTTTATGTTAGACAGGGAGGAGCGTCTTTTGATATTCGTGTCGCTGAACCAACGCCTTCTCCTATCAGAACAGAAGCCCCATGAGTGTTTTGCACTCAGCAGAGGTTGAGAAAAAGAAAAAATTTTCAGACGCGTGTCAGGAAAGACATATGTCTTTCACTCCTCTTGTCGTGTCTGTTGATGGGATGCTCGCTCCAGAAATTGCAAATTTCCTTCGGAGAATAGGAGAAGCATTATCTACCAAATGGGAAAAACCCTATAGTAAAACTATGAACTGGGTGAAGTGCGGCTGTCTTTTGCCGTGCTCCGTGCTTCCAGTGTTTGCTTCCGAGGCACAAGGACCAAGTGGAGGAGTCTTGGCTCAGACCATGATTTCTTACCCTAGAGAAAAATTTATGGATGTTCTACAATGAAGAGAAATTGGCTAGCTATGTGCAAACTCTGCTAGTAATGTAAAACGTGGACCTAAACGAAACAAAATGTTGAAAAAATGAACCAAATAGATAATTGATTGATTTCAAAAAAAAAATTAGTTATCTACATTTCAAGAAGAATGTAATAAAGTCTCTGTAAAAGTTTAAGCATTCTGAAAGTATATAATTACAGTAGTACTTGTTTCAAGGCTAAGTAGTGATTGTTCCGACAGCCCTTTAAAGGGTCTGAAAAAAACGGCTTTTGAAAATGTCTGAAAGAAGCTTTATTTAAAATTACATTCAAATTGATAAATCTAGCGCTGGTCGACATTTGGTTGAATATGTTTGCCTCAATTGAATTTGGAATGATTTCCTTGACAAATTATTTTTTGCCGCTACCACTTCATGTTGAAGTATTCGCGCGGGATAATTATCCTAAAATAGTATAAGGGCAGTTTCAGGCACCCATAAACCTCAAAACTCTTAAAGTTGTCTCAGGTGATTTGTCTTTTTAATGGAAAAAAGGGAGTAAGCTTGCAAAAAAAGTTGGAACAAAAATGAAATAAAAAAATTAGTTCGAGAATTACTAAGAGTTAAAACTAAGAAATAAGAGAAATTATAAAGTTCTATTATAATCTTTAATTTTTAAGTGTACATCACTTTTTTAAGGCAGTGCCCTAGTCGATCAAGGGAGGTTATCTTGCAAGATCTTGCAAGAATCTTGCAAGATTCTTTTAAAGAGGATGCATCTCTTTAAAAGATCTTGCAAGATTCTTGCAAGATCTTGCAAGATAACCTCCTTTAAAGATAACCTTTTTTTGCAAGATCTTTAAAGATACAATTTTTTTGGGCAAAAACAGCTTTACACGCGAAGACAACCAAGTAGCGTTCGTGGAAGAAGGAAGCAATCTTAGCTACGCATACATACACACAGCCCGCTAGGCGGTTGCCCCCAGAAAGCTTCTTTTTTTAAAACTTTTTTTTTGTGATAGGCGGCTATCTTCAAGTTTTGATCGACTACTTATACCTTAATCTCTCAAAATAGGAAAAACGCATTTGAGAAGAAGTCGTTTGTGATGAAAGCTTCACTTTCCTAGAACATAGCCAATCGAAGATTGCAAAGGAGTAATAAACGCAAGTAAACATTAAAAAATAACACTGACGTTGTTGAAAAATCTCAACTTTCAAAACTCAAAGAAAAAAATAGAAGCCCTTTAAGCTCTTTAAATTTCTAGAACAATTTATGATGGGCGCTTTTTTGATAACATGAACACGACTTGAGAAAACTGGATCAATAAGTAAAGTTTTTATTCTCTGGAAATCAAAAAAGTAAATTCCACTGTCAAAACTAGAAATCGATAGTCGAAAAAACTAAATATCCCCGGTTTGAACTAATTAAAGCAATTCGTCACAAAAATGTTTTGGCCAATAATCCTTCAATTTTCGCAAACCAGTAGCCGCAATAATTGCGAATAAATTAAAAAGATTTGATTGGTTGATACTTTTAACCTCATTGAATAAATTAACAACAAATATGCGACTACTTTTTAACGCATGATTTTTGTCTAATTTTATTCGTTAAGCATTTATTTAAAGTTTTGGATTCTCGTTCTAGAAACAATTTTTTTGATCTTACACCTAATTTCTGTTATTTATTTTGTGTTTTTCGACAGAAATTTTGGGATGGTTATCTTGCAAGATTCTTTCAAGATTCTTGCAAGATAACCTCCATCTTGCAAGATCTTGCAAGATAACCTCCATCTTGCAAGATCTTGCAAGATAACCCTCTTTTGCAAGAATCTTGCAAGATCTTGCAAGATAACCTCCCTTGATCGACTAGGGTGAAGCTTGGAAAAAAAGTTGGATCAAAAATGAAATGCAAAAAATTAGTTCGAGAATTACTAAGAGTTAAAACTCAGAAATGAAAGAGATTATGAAGTAAGAACAAGTCACCTGCAATGCATGTTATCCTATCCCATCAGAACAAAAACTTGGCAGGAGCAGACTGAATCGCAGCAAAAAAAGAAAACTGCAAAATTTTTTGAAGAGCACTTGAGAAATATTCTCCGTCAGCCTTGCAGCAGCAACCAGGCCGGGATTTGACAAAACTATGGTATAAACTGCTATTTGTTTTTTGCAGGTAAATTTAAATTTAAACGGTGGTGGTTAGAGACAAAAAGTTGACCTAATTTATTCACTAAGGATAAAAAACTGATAATTTGAGGATTAATTGCAGATGAAAACGGAAATGAACACATCGGCAAAACAAGCATTATAAAAAACCAGTGAGTTAAACAAGAAACAAAAATTTACTCGAGGAACAGTTAATCTTGTTTGAAACAAAACATAAAAATTTACTCGAAGAGCACTTAATCAGTTAAACTTTTCAGCAAGTACTTGAATATTGATTGCATGTTGATTTTACCTTATCTGAAGTTGAAAAGATTAGCAATTGTAAAATCTTGGGTCAGCATTTCACTGAAGGAGTTACGTAGTGCCGTTATTTTTGAATTATTGTAATCAGAATCGCGCACCTGGTTTATAGATTTCAATTTTTCCTGAACAGTGTAGAAAAGTGAGTCACAAAATTGCGAATGTTTTCCTGCTTATCTCCAAATGTTTGGCTTATCAACCACGGCAGATTCGGTAGTTTCGCCAGTTATTATATGACTTCTGGTTGCAATAAAATGAAAAAGAATTTTGTTTCTTTTTCGATTCTTGTTTGTATTCTGAATCAAACTATTCCAATTTTAGCACCTTTTTTGCTTTATAGTTACCAACAGTTTTCTTTTCGTATGGGGCATGCTGCTGAAGAGCACTACAAACTAACTTCACCTGGAGGACCTTGATTTAAGTGAATCCAAGGAAGAGCTGAGAAGGGTAATTTTTATTGAAAGTAGAAATAACCTTGGCAAGTTTTTTTCCGCTTTTAATGTTTGTCTCTACAACTGAAGGCAAATGTGGGTTTTTTTTGGGTGTCAAAAAAAGTAAATGATTCAACTTTTGTTGAAGCCAAATGGTCGGTTTTTTAAGGTGCTTCAAAACGAAATTTGATGATTCAACTTTTGACAGTGTAATTGTGAATTCGAATAGGTTATAGGAAATGCTCAGAACTGAGTGGTCGTTTCAGATCCCTGACTCTGCCCTAATATTTTCTGATTTCCGATTGAAAATACCAATTATCGATATGACAAATGTAGAAAAGGTGAAGACAGTGTTGGAATCTAAATTTGTTACGGAATTGTGATTTTGGTGCTAAGAGCGAACCAAAAAAGCGACAAATTAGCTTGAGTTCCTGTTTTTTACTGGTGTAAAAAAATTTTTTACAGAGTTTTCTCAGACGCACTACAATTGTACATTGTGAACCCTATTCATCGAACCTCTCTGGAAGAGCAATATGGCTGAAGTGACAGAAAAATATATTAATTGTTTAAATTCATTTAGGAAATAATAAATTTCAATTATTTTTTGACAAAAATGTACAGTAAAACAAAATAAAATCTGGATTGATAACAAACGAGCGTATTGCGAAGCTGCGAACCTCATATATGGTAGTTAATATTTGGCTCTTTTTCCTTTCCCCCCACCTCACTCAAACATGAATTTTATGGTCTAACGAATGGTTTTACAAGGTTAATTATGCTGACCAAATATGTTTGTGATGGCCTAATTAGTCTGCATATCAATTTTCACGACAATCGGACAAAGTGAACAGTTACTTCAAATAAAAAAATTTGCAGGTGGGGGGAAAAGGAAAAAGAGCCTAATATTTTACTCGAAAAAATTCTTAGATATATGAAAAACGTGCGTTTTATCACTTTAAATGCATGTTTTGAAGTTATAAGTCAATTTCATATTTACGCGAATATCGAAAATTAGGTGTTTCAATTATATAATGAATAATTGACGAAGTTCTGTGCCGCTTCGCAATGGAAAACATCAGCAATACTAACATACTATCGAATGATAACACGAAATTGAATGAATTTTAGAATAGCCATTTTTACAAACAAAAGGATGTATTTATTTTCAAAAATGTGACTTGTTTCTGATGAGTATACTGGGGCTCTGTCTCAATTCCTAGCGGAGTAGGAGAGGAGGAGGGCGATTTTTTAAGGGTGAGGTATAGCGGTAACGTAAGGAGGGGAGAGGGGGAGAAAGGAAAAAGTAGAGGGGGGGGGGGTGTCACGTGTCTAAAAAGTTGACGGAGTAGTAGTCTTGGTGTCTGCAGAGAACAATTGCAATCAGTATGCAGAGTAGACATGCTATGACCAAAGAGGACACTACTATGGACAGTGGAATTAGATTGTCCAGCACCACCTCTTCAACTGCTATTGCACAGCCCTGTCAAATAAAAAAAAAATCGATTCATTTTGAGTTGAAAATTCTTAATGTAAAATAAATAAATCGTTTTCAGGCAGATGAAATACAAACTTATTAAAAAGGAAGTTTTTAGTAAGATAAGAATCTCTAGCAGTTCTCTGCCATTGGATTTACGAATCCGTTTTAAGGTGTAAAAAATGGATTATGTCACCGATGAACTTTCAGGAACCACATGTTTCAAAAAGAAGTCCCCGAATTTCAGTTATTCCTGTAACTGTTTAGTACACGGTTCAAAAGCTTGATAAATATTTGTTTGTTTTAAATAAAAATTAGTCCTCTTTTTAAGCGTGTAGATCGAAACTAGACTAATTTGGGATCAAATTGGATAGTCTTCGAATATTGAACCACCAACTCATTTGTCCCTAGAAACAAACGATTGCTGATTTTTTAATAAATAGATATCATAAGTTCACACTTAAGTACTTTTTTAAGGGGGGCTCAAATCTTCTCTCACTTTTGTTCTGTTGGCTCTTTTTTTGATGTAGCGAGATGTTTTACAGGGTGTTGTTTGAAGATCAAAATCGTTTGAAATGGCCTAATTAGTCGGATTATATTCGGACAATGTAAGCGAACGTTTAAGTACAAAAATACTTAAATAGTAAAATGTTGCAGCTGGTTTAAGTAGTAATTTATACGCAAGTTTATAATGCGTTTAAGAAGTAAACTATTGCAGTTTGGGGGTGAGGGGGGGGGGTAGCCGTTTTGCTATGTGTGTAGTATACCTTGATGTATCTGTGTCGGTGGGTGGAGTCTAACTGATAACACTCCTCCCACTCAGTGTACCTCGGTCTGGGCACCCCTCCAGTGTCCAGTTGGTGAAAAGAGACCTCCTCCCTCCCCTCCCACCGACAACACACATAGGGCCATGACTGGTTACTCTCACTTTGACTCAGTCGACGCCAGTTGGCACTCTTGCCCCAATCATCAGCCGACTCAGACCCACAACAGTCCAGCTGAATAAGAAGAAGGTCTTAATCCCACGCCGAAGTTTCATGGGCAAAATTGATTAGAATGGATTTTTGTTGACTTAAATGTCGTCTAGATGTAATCGATTATCAGAGCAAATATAGACCACGTAATGGATTTAATCCCGCACCGAACTAGATCTTAATCCCGCACCGAAGTTTCATGGGTAAAAATTGATTAGAATGGGTTTTTGTTGACTAAAATGCCGTCTAGATGTAATCGATTATCAGAGCAAATATAGACCACGTAATGGATTTAATTACTATCAGTGAGTTATAGCATAAGTAAGAAAAGACATGCTTGTAAGACATGCTTGATTTAGGTGGGATCTGATCTGCTTTTGAACAATTTGAGATTAATTGTTCCGACCATTCTCAGAGTTCAAAAAACCCAAGTGACTGCTTGTGTCACTAGCAAGTGAATAAACTCAGGTATATGGTTTTTAGATCATCAGAAATAACAAAATGGTTTTGAAATATGGCGCCATGACATCCATGTTACCTGTGATGTGAAAAAAAAATTAGCCGACAGGAAAGACAAATTTTTTTATATTGCACTTGGGGGCCTTTGCGTAAACATCCGAATGGGATCAAACGTCGAAGCTAGATGTAATTAGATAGTTTTGACACAGAAGTAAGAACAACGGTATCTGGCCTGTTTATGATTGCAAGAATGGATGTATGTTTTTGCATATGCAGTGAATGAAGCCTCGTTGAGTTCTCCTGGTTGGAAAATAGAGTGATAATAACCTTCAGCTGTATGAGGTTCCAGAATATGCTGGCGGGATGTGCACTCCTCTCTCCCCTGTATGACTCCATGCTACCCTTTAGTTCCTGTCTCAGTCTACTCTTCAACTGAAACAAACAATTATTTACAGTCAGAGTTAGAATCGAGTACAAGTTACGACCAATAAATTTATAGATTGAAAGTAACTTTTCAAATTCCAAGTGTCATTCATAAATCAAACATCTAAGCAAAAATTAGCTTTCACTTCAGCATGACAGCTCTTCTTGTTAGAAATTACAGAGCAGATGCAATTGCGCTAAATTATTGGATTTTGAATACTTTCGAGTGAATGGCTATTTTATGAATCGAAACTAATTTTTTTAAGGTTTGCGACAATTGGATTTATTCTTGCCTTTTAAAATAATAAAAACCGTCAACTTCAAAAACCAAAAACAATCTCCAGCCCCCCCCCCCCCCCCAACAATGAATACAAGAATCGCAGTTACATTTTATTAACTTATACTTAGATGGGGAGCTATAATAGGAAACAACCGAACCAAGTTGTTTCAAATTCAAAACAACTTGTATTTGTATGTACTACATGCGTACTAACTGAGTCTTGAAGTAGAATAGCAGAGATTGATGTGGCGAGGGTAGACATCAGCACCAAAAACACCAGAAACATAAACTGAAACACAAACAGAACAATTGAATACTTTTGAACTCAATTCATTTTTCAACTTGATTGAAAAAGATTCGAAAACCGTCATTTTTGAAAGATTGTTGCGTGAAAAACATATGCGGAATCTGAAGCTGAACATGGTATTAACTAGTTGGTGGTTTTTTAATTGCGCGTACTGCATAGAAAAGAAGGTGCCTCAAACCCCAAAAATTTGGGCAGCCCATTTCTAAAGAGACTATTGCGAGACAAATGAAAAGTAACATAACATTTCTTAAGAAATCTCCAAAATTCATTCATAAACTTACATGCGTTAATTTGTAACTGATAAGCTACTATATTTGGACCTTGAAAAAGAAAGTAAGAGAATTCAATAGTAATTAAAACTGTAATATTACACTAACTGTGACCAGAAACACTTTCCCGAGTACTTTGTAGTCGCGTTTCACTCGGCCGAAACTTCCCGTGCATCCCGAAAAGCCGACAAGTGCCAACAGCACCCCGACAGCAACACACAGCCACGCGACACTCTCGACTATCACAATCAGCTCGTCGCCGCCTTCCTCGCGGGCGCCGAGTTTCGAACCCAGGCCAAAAGGTTCAGAGGATATTTTCAATTGGAGTACAAGCACGATTCCGGCAGCAAGGATACAAGAGCCGAAAACCTGCAAAAAAAAAATTAAGAGAGTCTTAAACTCGTCTGTCAAATTGAAAACAAAATCATCAAAAAATAACTGAAAAAATTTCAATAAGAGTCAGGGGGCGGATCTAGGATTTTCTCGAGGGGGGGGGGGGGCGGATTTTCAAAAAAATTTCGAAAATTTTGACGACCTTTTTTTTAGGTCGTCGACCAAATTGATTTTTCGAGCTCTCCCAAAGCACGGTTTTGTCCCTATTTTGGTTAAAAATTTTTTGCGCCGCAGGCAAAATTTTGAAAAAACAGGTCAAAAAAGGCGTTTTTAGGCACTTTTTGGAAAATTTTGACCGAAAAATTGCGTTTTTTCCGCGCGCGCTCCCCCCTCAAAATTAGTATATATTGGCGCCGAAGGCGCCTTTAGAAAATTTTTAGGGTCGGTCGGCCAAAAATGGATTTCTTAAAAAGTATCAAAGGGGGGACCCTTTGGGTCGGCAGGGGGTCGAATCCCTGAGGGGGGGAAGCGTCCGCCCCCCCCCCCCCGCCCCCGCCCCTAAATCCGCCCCTGATAAGAGTTATTAATCAAGGGGCAAAAAGTTCGCTATTAACAGATGAAACGCTGATTTTTTGTGATCTTTTGCGGTTGACCTCCATACACCGATAAAGCTGGTCTTACAATCCCATAATTCTGTCCATGAAAAACGCTAGTCATACAATTCTCATATATACGAATTGTATGGCTTGCTTTTTTTGGAATTAACGCTTTTTTCCCGCAAAAATTAAAAGTTTAGATATTAGTTACAATCGTAATTAATATCTTGTTATTCATTAAGTAGAAATTTAATAAGGTCTTTTAAAGATGTTTAAAATATCCCACCTTGTTAAGTATATCAATACAAAAACGTAAGATTATGCTTCTTCGAAAATAAATGGCAATGTTTAGCCCACCGCTCGATTCTTCTAAGGTGGGATGCTTAAAATTATTCCCATCGATATCATTAACCGCTTTTTGAAAATGATTTCACAGTCATCTTTTTGGTTATACTGACCAGTATTAGGATGGTGAAGAGAGCGAGAATGGTGCCCAGACAGAAGTTGATCTTCCGGCCCATTCTGGGAGAGCAGTCACACAACCCCCCACATCCACAATAGAAGCGACACCGGCAGCTACAGCAGCACCTGTGAACATTTAATAGCAAGGATAGCCGGTTAATGTGCGAGTAGAACAGAATGTTCCGACAATAATCTTAAAAAATACAAAAAACCTTTTTTTTCTTTCTTCTAGAACTCGGCAGTCATAATCAAAAAGGCAAATTGGAAAAGAGTTTTTTTTTGTGGAAAATGAAGAGAAAAAACTTAAAAAAATGTAAACAATTATGAAAAAAAAAAACATTTTCAAAATGTTTTTCAATGCTTGCAGAAATTTTTTGAATTTGAAAATAAAATTTTTTGAAAGTTTTTGATTCATAAAATGGCGCAAAAAAACTCAAAACACAAACTTGACTCGAAAAAACTAAGTTTTCACGGCTTAAATTAAGAAAAAAAGCTATTTTAAGCCTATTTGCTCATGTTATTCGCACGAAGCTAGACAAAAATCAAAAACTCCAAACGGCTTTTCTCGACACTGAGAAAACTCTTTCAAAAAAAGATTTAAAGCCACTCGAATCACCACTGAAACGGCTTGAACATGATGTATCACTCCAAAATTTCCGAAGATTATTTGTGGTACCTGATTTTGCATGGAAGACAAAAAAAAATTAAAACACGCCACAACTCAAAGTTCCTCTCAATTTTCAATGGTCGGAACAATAAGTACTTTAAATTGAAACAAACAAAGATCAGATTGGAAAATATAAGACCAAGGATCGCTAAAAAAGTTAATCCACTAATTTTAAGTAATTTTTTCGCATTCGCATTTTTTATGTGAGAGTCTAAAATTCCAATTGATCTTGCAGAGGACAATTAAAAAATCAATGAAAGTTTAAGAAATGTTTTTATCAAAGACTTCAATTTTCTCAAATTGAATAGCAAATTTCTCACAAAAAATATTTGCGCTGAGCCACTGAAAGCTTGACCCAGAACCAAAAAAAGACGGAGACTTTGTCAAAATTGATACAAAAACTTTTCAGCCAGTCAATTAACGTAATAAACGAAAGTTTTTCAAGCGTTCCTCGACCAGAAATCATTGAATAAAAACAAAAGTATAATAAGGATCTTCAAATAGTCGGACTCTAACCGTGTGATCAAAAAAATGTCAACGGAACCTACTGTTTTTTTTATTGTCAAAAACGTTGATGGTTGGAAAAATAATAATCTATTTTGTTTTCAAAACTTTTAATTTCAATATTTCAGTACAACTAACCAACCGTTATAATGAAACTCAATTTCTTATAAAAAAATTATGTGCAACATTTTATGAATCGATACATAAGTTTTTCTAAGATTCTTATGAAAATTCTTAGACAAAAATTTCTGATAGAAAACTAAAAGCTTGATTTTGTCGTTTTAATATTTTAGAGTCTCTAGACAAAATACTAATGCAGAAATTGTGCGAGCACCTGAAAATTTAAAATTTTTTGCGTTTAGTCATCAGTTTTTAAAATTTAACTGTGAATTTTTTCAACGCTAATAAATCTCTTTATAATAGAATAATATGGAAAAAGACAAAAATTGTAAACCAAGATGTTTACTCGAAATGCATATTTCGTACGTTCTCAGTTTCAAACTGCAGCTTGGAATGCAAAAATCTACCAAAAATTTAAAAAAAAATCTGGCAAAATTTTGTTTCCGATCTGCAGTTCACGAAAAATGAAAATCTTGAAAAGCTTTCAAAAGATTTTTTTGTTTATTTGATTTTGATTTAAAACTTTTAATTGAAGTCATGATATTGAAAAAAGAATCCATAATGGAGTTTTTTTATAGTCCCCAGCAATTTATAGTCCCCTTAATAGCAAATCACAAGGAAGTTAAGGTTTTTAGTCTATTTTTAATGCTTGGTCAAATTTTGAATGCCGTAGCTCAAGTACTAAAAAAGATAGTGACTCTGATTGGCATAATTGCCTCCTAACATCCTGTACAAAAAGTACTCGTGAGTTTCTGTGATGATATAAAGTAAGATTTTCAAGAAATAATTTTAGGAACAACGGATAAACAACCAAAAATTGAACAAGGATAGCCGGTTACTGTGCAGATAGCACAGAATATTCCGACTACAAAAATTATATATTTTGTCAAACTAGTGTCGTTTTTTCTGTGTGGTGTGATAAAAAAGATGAAGGAAAAAAACTAGAAAAACGAAAGAAAAATCGTAAAAAAATTTAAAAACTCCAAAACATTTTTTATTTTTTGCAGATTTTTTTTTGAGTTTTTTCAAATTTTTTATACCCAAAATGGCGCTAAAAATTCCAAAAGTTATTTTTGCTTGAATAAAAGAAAGCTTTCACGGCTATGGCAAGCCTGCACACTGACCTTATTAGCTTGAAATTGAATCAAAAATCAAAGTTTTCAAACCGGTTTTTCTCCGAATTTTTTAAGGTCTTTCGAATCACGACTGAAACGGCTTTAATATGAAATATCACTCGATGCTTTCCGATGCTTGTTTGTGCTACCTGAGTTTGCGAGGAAAACAAAAATAATGGTCAGAACAAATGGTCGGAACAACAAAGATAAATAAACCCCGAGTCATAAGCAAACCTGAGGGTTGAGCAAGGGAGCAGACGTAGTTGAGAAGATGGATGGTCAGGGTGGTGGGGGTGGGCCGGTGAATGGGGTGAACGGGGCGAAGACTGTTGGTGGTGGTGGTGGTGGTGGTGTCTGTTTGATGACTCACTCAATAAGTTCTGCTCGTCTTCCTCAAATGGCTTTTTGGTGTCCCTATCGAATGGGGAGTATCTAAGCAGGGATAAAAAGTCCATTCATTCTCCGTAATTTTCACCGAGTCTCAGAAACACAATTTTTTTCTTCCAAATCGTGTATTTTTTTCCGGTTGCAATTTTTGTCAATTGTGATCATTATTGGGTTTGAAAAACTCCTGCAGACGCAACTGATCACGTGAAATGAAAATAAGCTTATCTTGTTCTGGCGATGCAAACATTATGCCTTTTTCAAGATAGATTTTTAATTTCTCTGCTAAATTAAGAGAAGATCAAAATAAGTTGGCTTATTTCTGCGAAAAAAGGCCATGCTAAATGAAGACTTGAAGTTTTTTTTTTTTTTAAAAAATGGACGGAGCTGTTTAAATCAAAGCAAGCAAGCTCATATTTTATAGCCATTTTTTCATACATAACTTTTTAAACCAAAATGAGATTTTCAAAGAAAAAAATTTAAAAAATTAATAACAGTATGGACACCAACACTTATATCCATTATTTATCTAAAACCGTTTATTTTTAGTGGCGTCAAACAATGTACTATCATGTACAAGGATGATTACAGCGGTGGTTACTTTTTGTAGTTCGAGTTATGCCTCTGCTCAGATGACGAATATGGCTGATGCGTGAACAATTTGGCATTCGGGGAAGCCGAATTGAAATCGGAAGACAGAGAATCACTCCGTCCGTTAGCTCCATTCCCGACTATTGTCTCGGCTCTGCTGTGCCGACTGTTTAAATCCAGGTTCAAGGTCAAAGGTGTCAACGAACTTCGGGCTACCGAACGACTCCTGCCGACTCCCTCGGACGATGACCTCCCGAAAGGCGACGAGCCCGCGGATAAAGCTGATATGGGTTTGAGTGCTTTACTCGAGTGGTGATTCGCGAGGAGTTTCCGAGAGTCAGATCCGACTGATCCGAAGTGTTGCGAGGAGGATGAGTCGGTTCCGTTGCTGCTCATTGAACTGGAAGTCGTAAAACCCGAGAACATCGGGTTCGGAGTCAGTGTGAAAGACGACGAACACGAGGACTGCATTGTATTATAGAACGAAGTAATATATTGTAAAATTTGTAATAAATTATAAGGTTTTATGCTAAGAAAGCTTAGTTTTTCTGCTTTTTTTGAAGTTTTTACAACTAAAATGTCGTAAAATGAAAATAAAAGAATTTCCTCCTGCTAACATGCAACACAAGTAATGTTAATTTGTACGCGGTGGAAATTAGTCACATACTATTCTGAAAAGCAAAAAAAATGTTTGAATGAAACGTAATAAGTGGAAAAAACTCGAGTTTTAAAAGCACTTTCTTCAAGGGCTGTTGGGGAAATAGAAAAAAAACAAGGTGAAAATGAAGGAAAACATATTCATAGATGAAATTTGAACTCTTTGAAACTGCACAGGGATAAAAATATAAAATACGTCGCTTTTCCTTACATGTAAAAAGGTAGAAAAACCCTAGAACAGCACAACGTCTGAAAACTATTTGTTCATTATTCAATTTCATTGATGATTTATTCGCTTGTATTGATAAAGTTGAAGTAATTACCGCATTAATTAAACAAATGCGTCGCAATCGCCGATGTTAATCATTCGGTCAGATGTTTGCACTTTGTCGTTGTTATCAATACGAGGAGAGGGATTAACCCCCTCACAGATAAAGAATCACTTATCTCGAAATATTGGCGAAATGTTTGAAACATTACAATAATACGAAACCAATAAACAAAAATCGTCTTGAGCAAAACAACTCTCGAAGATGTCAAAAATGTTGCGATCCGCAGTTGTAACCAAATTGATTTTGTTATCACAACAAATAGTTTGTAGTTATACTATATTTATACTAAAAAATGAGATCTTTTGTTTGAAAAACTGTTGGAATTTTATTTGATCTTTTGTTCCAATCAAAAAAATGTTTATTTTTGCTTTAAAATTTAAAAACAAAAATTTCTCACCTTTGAAAAATGCACGCTTCGAAATTTTTCAAAACTGTTGCCAAAAATAGTTAGAAAACTGAAAACCGGCTTATATTAAAAAGCGCAAAACGTGCATTTGGCTGCCTTTAATTAAAACAAATATGCCAAGTCTGCAAAACGTTTACACTTGCCATAGCAAAGTCCCGAAATGTTTTGGTAGAAATAATCAGAGTGAGCGTGGCGTGACTGCTTTTGAAAGCAGGACATTTACGACTGTTTGCCCATTTTGTAACGGATTAGGGCCCTACTTGGTTATTTACGATGTCATGTACAAATAGATAATAAAAGCTCCTCTTCTGTTCGAAACGAACAAATTAGCGACCCAAAGACGATTCAAAATCTAGGTCAGATTTATTCACACCAAAGAGAAATTTATGATTTCCGCTGAGATATTTGAGCCGAATCAAGTAAAATGTGGTCAAATTTTAAAGTAATTGATGTACTTTTTTGATAATTATGGAATTAAAATTCTATATCCAAGGAAAATATTTCAAAATATGGAAGAATCGGCTGAGATAATTGTTGCATTTTGGATTCTTTTGTAACTTTCTAATAACCGCAAAATGCGATCGCGTGACTCAAATCAGTCAAAGGATAAATGCAAGTCAAAAATGACAAATATGGAAAAAATTAGATTCGAGCAACTTTTTTAAGATTTACTTCATTTTTTCTTTTGTGGTGTAAAAATTATTATTATCTTTCCATCCAAAAAGTTATAAGATCGTGTTAACTATCCCCTCCCCCCCTCTGGTACCTTTTAACAAATTTGCTCCGACCCCCCCCCCCGCTCCCCCTATTAAGAAAGAATTGAACAGTTATGCATCTACGAACTTTGTACCTTTTAACGAATTTCCTCCCCTTTTGCAAAATTTGATAAATGGTTAGCAAGATCCAAGTTTTTTTTGTAAAAAACTGATTTTATTTGCAGGATCAATTTCTATAAAGTATTGTATATAAAAGAAATGTGTTTCTAAAGAGTGAAAAATTTAGAAAACAGTTTTTGTCAGATAGAAGAAAATAAAAAGCCCAAATCGATCTACGCAGTTTAAAAAAAATCAATTAAAAAAGAAGATTTAAAAACAAATTCATAGACTCAGTTAATCAAAAGAAAAACCTAGGGCGAAAAAACAGTCACATTTGTTATATTTTCACAAACAAATGCCGTAAATAAAGCGAATAAAATTGCCATTTGTTTCATCTGTGCGTCATAGCTTGGCTCAGAGTGGAAAATTGATGAATTATTGAAAGAAAAAATAAAACGCGTGGAAAACTGGAAACTTATTTATTTTCATTCTTAAGCAGAAATTTGAAACTGCCTTCAGGAAAAACTGAAATGGTAGACAGGAAATAAAGATGCGAATCAGTTAAAAAGCATATGTTATCAAGTGGTTGAAATAAAACAAGTTATAAAAATGGCTGATAGCCAGTGAAACTGTTTTTAATTTGAAACTATTGTGGAATGGAAATTTTCTTTGTAGTTGATTGTTTCCGACTACTGAATATCGAGAGGAAATTTATCTTTTGGTGTGTTAATTTTTTTATTTTCCACATCAATTTTTACCACTAATTATAATCAGAATAAGTCAAGTGAAATATCATATTAAAACGCTTTCAGTCGTGCATGATTCGAATATCTAAAAACTCAAAGTGCTAGCAGATGAAGCGTGATCGCACAGGCTTACAAAAAATATAAATTTTTATTCAAACCCTGAAAACTTATTTTCAATCCAGTAAACTAAGTTTCAGAAATTTTTCGAGTTTTATTTAGAAAAACATTTGTTGTGCAAAAAAAATTGCAAAAAATTGGAACGTTAAAAAAAATTCTTAGAGTTTATTTTATTTTTATTTGTTTTTCTATTCATTTTTCGCATATGAAATTTAAAAAAATTATTGTCGCTTATTCCTAATTTACTATCACTATCGAATAAGTGCTCAGATCCTCTCATCGCATCAATGACAAAGAACAAAATGCAGAAAAAAAATGTGCTCGAACCTTTCGTGCTACTTACACAGCAACCAGCTATTCTTTTTCAGTTACGAAAACTGTTTTTGAAAATTTTTATAGTTCAAACGTTCAGATGTAAGCTAGAACAAAAACACTCCAATGCCTTGAACTCAGTTTAAGTTTAAAAGCTAATGAAGTTTAAAAGTAACTATCAACAAGACTGCTCGTTTCAGGGCGAAGCCCTGATTATTTCGACTGCATTTCAAGGTCTATGGAGCAGTAGTAACATGAAAAAATTAAATATAAAGAATGAAATAAAAAAAAATGAGTTTTTTTTGTAAAAATCATCCCACCACGTGCCATCTGAAGTAAAAAGTGATAGATTTCGCTCCTAGTAACAAATCATATATGGCAATAATGCTTGCTGCAACCAATTTGGAAAGATTTCTAAGATGGACTAAATCTCTGCTTACGCGTTAATAGCGCGAAAAATATCGCGCGTGAATTGTCCCAAATTGGCCAAAATGACAATCTTTAAACCCGCATAACTTAAGGAAAAATAATCACAGGTGAAATATGTTTTCAAATTTAAGCTCAAGACAACGATGATTTTTGAATGATTTTTAAAAATTCTGTCAAAAGGTCGAAATTTGCCTGAAAAAAAACCATCCCGAGCACAAATATTCTGTTACTTTCGTTACGAATTCGGAACAATAAGTGCAATAACCAAAAGGTTTCGGTGGTATTAATTTCGTTTGATTGGGGGAACACTTAGGGTTACTTTTTGCCTGTTTTTTTGTTTTTAAATTTTACCTGTGTTTTCAAAATTTTGCCCCTCGACCAAATTCTAGATTCGCCCCTTGTACAAAATGATGCAAGAGATTGAAATAATTTTCCAAAATGTGCTTAAAAACGCCTGTTTTTTTTTTAAATTTTACCTGTGTTTTCAAAATTTTGCCCACTCGACGAAATCCTAGATCCGCCCCTTGCACAAAGTGATGAAAACACACTAAATATTTTATCCGTTTATCTAAAGTAAATAAAGCGCTTCTTGTAATGATTTATGATTCGAAAAAATTCTAAGTGTGTTTCTCACTTCATTAATTATAACAGTTTGAAAAACGCAGTCAATAAGTTCTAGAAATTCAAAAATTATATTATGGTATGCCATTTAAAAAAATGGTAGTTGTGTTTTCAGCTCAAACTAATGGCTGAATAAAAAAACGATAACTTCTGAGAAAACTGGTGCAAATTTTTAAAATTATCGTTTTTCTATTCAGCCATTAGTTTGAGCTGAAAACACAGCTACTATTGTTTTAAATGGCATACCATAATATAGTTTTTGATTTTCTGAAGCTTATTGACTGCGTGTTGCAAACTGTTATAAATGAAGAAGTGCGAAAAACACTTAAAATTTTTTAGAATCATAAATCATTACCAGAAGCGCTTTATTTACTTTAGATAAACGGATAAAATATTTAGAGTGTTTTCATCACTTTGTGCAAGGGGCGGATCCAGGATTTCGTCGAGTGGGCAAAATTTTGAAAACACAGGTAAAATTAAAAAAAAAAACAGGCGTTTTTAAGCACATTTTGGAAAATTATTTACCAAAAAAAAAGACTTTTTTTGACGCGCTCTCCCCTCAAAATTGGTATATATTGGCGCCACTAAATCCGCCCCTGCTTTGTACTTAACATAGCATGTGGGGCTACTTTTTTCAAAAAATTAATCTGGAAAAAAAAATTTAACAGTTCTTTTTTCGAAATTTCATTAAGTTAGAAATTTCGTAAGAATTGATGTACTCATTGAATTTTAAGGAGCGTTCAGATCATTCATGGTTTTGCCAGTATACGAGCAGTTTCGGTAAAATAAAAAACGGAAGCTTGTTTTTTTCTTCCACTTTTTGTGGATTTTGTGGTCTGAGCAGAAAAAAAATATTTTAAATAATTTTCAGATAAATGTCTTTTTAAAAACAGAGACAGAAAAACTATTTAGACTTTTTGGAAGAACACTTGAATAACTCTTGAAAAATAAGAAAATCAATTTAGCTACATCTGAAACAAAGAGACAGAAAAAAATCAAAGAAGAATGAAATACTTTACAAAAGTTGAAAAAACAACTTCATTAAAAATGTTTTCTTTTTTGGTTTTTCCTTGAAAGATATTTTTGTATTTAAATTTTTGAAGTATATATAAAAAAGCGGTTTCAATATCAACCGTAACATGCAGGTGCCGTGAAGTTATCAATAAACACAAGACTCGCGCTTCTTTTTGCATTGATTGATGCGCCCAGTCTTCTGCCATAAAAAACAAAGCTCCTTTTGTTTTCAACTTAGACGGATTGATAACATTCAATAAAAGTTTTCGTGGAAACCTGTTCTTACTCTATCCGACGCATATGCGATTATCAC